AGATAACTGTGAAGCTTATGTCATAGAGTACTTTGCCTATAGTTTCTTCTGTCTGTTTTATGGTTTCAAGTCTTAACATGCAAATCTTTTATCCATTTTGAGTTTATTTTTATGTATGAGATAGTGATCTAGTTTCATTCTTTTGCATGTAGCAGTCCAGTATTCCCACCATTGTTTCAGCATATATTCTTTGTGCCTTTGTCATAGCTTAGCTATCTGTTTAGGCATGGTTTTATTTTTGGGCTCTCAGTTCTAGTCCATTGATGTGTGTATCTGTTTTTGTTCCAGTGTCATACTGTTTTAATTTATATTGCTTTATATTATAGTCTAAAGTGTGGAACTATAATATCACCATGTTCTCCTTTTTTTGTCAAGAAAGCTTTGGCTCATCAGGGTCTTTCATGTTTTCATATGAATTTCAGTAATACATAGTATTAAATGAACAAATAACAGTTTTCCAAAAAGTTCCATTTTTTTTAAAAGATTTACTTATTTATGCATACAAGAACTGGGGTACAGACCAGAGGTGCAGGGGCAGGGGTGAAAGGATTCACCAGAGACAGAGTGGGGAGCATAGCAGGTGGATTGACTCAAATACACTGTAGAGGGGAACAGTGGGCAGGTCAGAAGAGGTCTGCCACACCATGTGAGTCACCTCCCTGGCTAGGGATCAAACTCATGGTGTAGTGGCTGTAGATTGCTTCATAGTGCTGTGCTTTAACCCACTGTACCACCAGGGAGGGCCCCAAAAGTTCCATTTTTGTACTGTAAACTCAGATATTTGTGTTTTCAGTTACTAGAGGAAATTTTGGAGGTTGCATCTTAAAAAACGAAGTGTATTATGCAAAGAAAATGAAGATCTTCCATTGTCTATATGACATGGCAAAACAGTATGGATTGCTTTTATAATTAAAAAATTTTATATTTCAAAAACCAAAGGCATTATAAATAAAATTTAATGAGAAACTATAAACTAAAAAAAAAGATGAAATATATATTGAAAGCATTGGGTTATATTCCATAATGCATAGAGATTGGAAACAATTGCCTGTGTTTTTTCATAATACAGTTACTAAATAAATCGTGATCAATAATAAAGAACATTAAAAACCAACAATAAGGATTAACAAGGAAAAAAAAGCGTCATGCTTTTCTAATCCACAGAAGATATGAAAATATGTTTAGGTCACTTACCTTTTGAACTTAATCATATTTTTACATGGAATTTATGGATCATATAAAATCATGAATCTTATCATATTTTGAAAAAAGAATATATGTTTTAATAAAGGAGGATTATAATAAAATTACATATAGTCCTAGCTAGAAATTGTCTCCACATTTAGTTTTGTTTGATATATTTTTGTAAACTTGCTATAGCTTGCTAATGTTTAGTACATTTAAGCTGGTAGATGATATATTTTTAATTAATTTTGTATTAGAAGTCTGTTCTTATTTAAAAGCTGAAAAATTGAAATAGCTGAAGAGTTACTTTTTTTTTTTTAAAGATTTATTTATTTATTCATACAGAACTGGGGTACAGGCCAGAGATGCGCAGGGTGAGAGGCTTCACCAGAGACAGAGTGGGGAGCAGAACAGGCAGAT